AATGATTTCATTTTTCTTGTTTTCTTTATGTTTATGTATACGTTTTTACATTGAGGCAATATTTTCATATAGCGTTTGCTCGATAGCCCATGAATGTAGGCCGACTATTATCCCCTGTTCGTTTTCTTTTTGGTGTTCTTTTTCTTTTGGTGAAGAATTTGGACCAGTTCTCGATTTTGGCGCGTCATCCTTACGCAGGGGCCATGCTACCAGTCTTGCCCCGAATGGAACGTATCGTCAATATCCCTGTATCTAGACTGAAAGTACTATTCAGTACTATTCAGTACTATTCAGTACTATTCATCCTTCGTCAGTATCCAGTACAGCAAGAATGATCGTACGTTCTATTCGGGGGAAGACTGTAAATCTCCTGTGTATCGCTCCAATTTTGACGGATGTCAGCCGCGTCTTCCTATCATCACGATGACAGCAATTTCGTCCTCCTCGTCGTCCCCTCCTCGTTGATTCTTTGCGCAACTCTTGTGGAATTGTCCGTCCTTCTCCGTTTCATTTTTTGCCTACCATCTACCGTCTTTCCCACGCGTTAAGGTTAGCATCGCTGTATCTAGACTGAAAGTTGGCCCAAATACGGCAATAACGACCAAACGTTCTATCCGGGGGAAGGCGGTAGCTTGGCCGAACGATATTGACAGCGTTTCGCTCTCGGCGTTCCTTTCACACACGAAACTGCCCCATCAAAAAAAAAACAAAAAAAAAACGAAACCACCCCATCGACCACATTAGCAGCCGTCATTTTTCTCTTAATCGTCCTTCTTCTCCTACTCTGCTGCTGATCTTTGTCCATCACTCTTTTGTAATAAAGCTCATTGACTCAGGTCGTATAGACGCGATCTGCCTCCCTTCCGTATCTCATCTCCCGTCTGCATGCCGTTTTGTTCCCTCTTCCTCTTCCCGCTTCTTTCCTCCGTTTCATTTTTTGCCTACGATCTACTGTCTTTCCCACGCGTTAAGGTTAGCATCGCTGTATCTAGACTGAAAGTTGGCCCAAATACGGCAATAACGACCAAACGTTCTATCCGGTGGAAGGCGGTAGCTTGGCCGAACGATATTGTCAGCATTTCGCTCTCGGCGTTCCTTTCACACACGAAACCGCCCCATCAAAAAAAAAAAGAAACAAAAAAAAAACACGAAACCACTCCATCGACCACATTAGCAGCCGTCATTTTTCTCTTAATCGTTCTTCTTCTTCTACTCTGCTGCTGATCTTTGTCCATCTCTCTGTTGTAATAAAGCTCATTGACTCAGGTCGTATAGACGCGATCTGCCTCCCTTCCGTACCTCATCTCCCGTCTGCATGCCGTTTTGTTCCCTCTTCCTCTTCCCGCTTCTTTCCTCCGGCTCGTTCTCTTCCTACCTCTACCTCTGACTTACTCTCCCCCTCCTCTCCGTAGCGCGCCCATGAGCCAGGGAAACAAATTTCTCCACCGCGATTATTTCAAAATGCCCGTCATCTGTGATTGCCTGCGCGCTCTCCTCCTCCTCCTTGCCATCGCTAAGTATTCATCACCTTTCCGCTCTCCCCCTCCTCCTCCTCCTCCAGTTTTCCATCTGTGATGGCCTGCGCCCATCACTTTTCCATCTAGTTTTCCCTGATGTCTCCAATTGCGCCGCCTCGCTTCTCCAGAAGTCCGCTCTCTTGTTTGTTTACCTTTTCTTTCCCTCCCTCTTCCTTTTCCTACTACTCGTCTCCTCCTTCGTCCTCGTTCCGTCCCTCTTACTCCATTCTTCCTTCCTTCGTGCTCCTCCCTCCTGCTCTCGTTATTGCCGCATTTGGAGAAATCCCGCTCTTTTCTTTCCTCCCCTATTTTTTCCCCGTTTGTTAGTCTTACCTCCTCTTTGCTTGCTCTCTCCGACTTTTTCCTCCTTGTCTTTCCGTTGTTCCCCTCTGATCCTCCATCTTATCTCCCTCTGCCTCTCTCTCTCTCTCTCTCCTCTCTTCATCCGCCTTCTTCTGCTGGTGTTTGTTCTTCCGTAGTCGTCTTTTCTCTAGACCAGATGGAACGCGACTTTCTGTTCCCTCGTGCCTGTGTGTTGGAGACGGTAAAGCTCAGATCTCCCTCTGCCTCTCTCTCTCTCTCTCTCCTCTTCATCCCGCTCACTTTCTCATCTCCATCATAGCACGCGGAAACGGGTGTTGGTATGGTTCTAACAACCCTCTGGTTGGTGCTCTTCATTGTCCTGTGTATGGTGAGTCCTAGCTCCTCCTTATGTTGTGTCCGTTGTTACGGTATCAGCAACATCCCGACCGACAGTTATGGATAGGAGCTTAATTTTTTTATTTTCGACGCCCAGATCTGCCAGGTCGATCATCGCCTCATCGTTCTGGTCGGGCTCTCTGTCCCTCGTGGAAAGTGAAGAGCAGGATGACGACTTCAGGCAGGTCTGGCACAATTTTACAGACCGGACCACATCGATTAGGCAAGAAGAATGTAGAGTCATGTGCTGTGCGAACAATCTTCGGGTCGCTTGGTGCTGCGCTTCGTGAGGCCGCCTTCCTGGGCCCGCTCGTTCTCGTTCCTATCTTCGTTTTGAAATGTGATGTTGCATGCTGCCCCAGCCCTGCACTGTTTACCGCCCGTTGATTGAGCAGCCTTATCTTGCAGTTTGGCGTTTGGAAGGATGGCGTGAGACGGAAAGTCCGACCGTGAACGTACTCTTCAGGAGCTAGCGTTGAGAGAGAGAGAGAGAGAGAGAGAGAGAGAGAGAGAGAGAGAGAGAGAGAGAGAGAGAGAGAGAGAGAGAGAGAGAGAGAGAGAGAGATCCTACGGCGCCATATGCTTCCGACTTTCGCGTACTGGTAGGCCGTGAACTGCAGCGGTCAGTGACCGTGAATCCCGTGAGCTACGTTTTCTGTCTCTAGCTTATGAGAGAGGGGAGTCGCGTGTCCCGATCCTCGCGCAGAGACTACGTGACTCTGGCAGTAGAAGTGATAGTTCTACGTGTCCCGATTCTCGCGCGTGTCCCGTTGATCAAACTGTTTTTGTATTGTATATTCTACGTGAGTTAGAACGGGCCACAGAAAAAAAAAAAAAAAAAAAAAAAAAAAAAAAAAAAAAGCACGGGCCACAGCACTCTAGCACTCCTTGTACTGAATTCAAGGACTCTCCTGGGGCCAGGTCCCACCAGCAGAGGGGGTTTTATTAAGACTGAATGTGGACGTGTTTGTGGGAAAGGTGCAAAAGAATGCGATGGATCTGCTTTTCTGCATGTCTGCGTGAGACACATCCAGATTCGGGCGCGTTAATCGAAACCCGTGCTCTAGTGGGACCTTGCTCCCGGATGTCTCTTGCCGTTAAAACTCCTACCGTCTTCACCCGAATAGAACGCCCAGTCATGATCGCTGCATCTGGACTGGAAAGTGCCCAAATACAGCCATAATGACCGGGCGTTGTAGTCGGGTGTAGATAGTAATGTGAGTATGCAGTTTGTAGATGTATCAGTGCAATCACGCGACATGTAGCTTTTCGCTGGGCCGTAGGGAGAAGGTTGGCGCGGCCAAAAAAAAAAAAAAAAAAAAAAAAGGTTGGCTCGGCCATGAAGGCGAAGCTAGCGTTCATGTCAGCTGGCTGTTGGGGTCACATGGACGTCAGGAGGATGGTCATGTGCCAGGCAGAGGACCAGTGTGCCTTACAATGGTATGGCACAGCGTGGAGTTAGGGCGAAGAGAGCGGAGGAAAGGACCGCAGAGGCAGAGAAGAAGATGGACACAAGGGTGGAGTCGATCTCTTTTTTTTCGACCGTTCTTTGTTATTTTGTGACATTGTCTTCCGCCGAGTGGTTTTGTTGTCCTGTGCAATTTGAAACGAGGGAAAATAATTCACATGGCATGGTGATGTGAGGTGGAAGCTGATGTTGGTGGAGAGTTCCTATGGCGGAGGAAAGTGAGGGATCGATTATCATATTCTCTCTTTTACTCCTTGTAATCATCGCTTTTTTTCACTCTGTCTATTCTAATCTGTTTATCCTCTGTTTTCATTTCTTTCGCTCTCTCTGTGTCTCTCTCTGCTTTGTTTTTTTTCATCCACTGCTTTCATCTTCTTCATCCTTTGTTATGATCTCCTTCAGCCTTTGTTCATCCTCTGTTGCAGCCATCGTAGCTGGGCCGCGACTCAGATCGCCAACGGCAGAGGAAGGCGTTGTGGGGTATTGGTTTACAGAGCTTGTTCGTGAGAACGAGCCTTTCATCTTTTTTTTTCCCTCCTTTTTTCCTTCTTTTTTGACAAGGGCGACGTCCTTGAGATATCATCATCGAACTGACCGGCCCTAGGTAATTCACAATTCTAGTATATGTCGCTCGTCTGCTTCCACTGGATTTCAACAGAATTCTAGTGTATGTCACTCGTCTGCATTTCAACAGAATTCTAGTGTATGTCGCTCGTCTGGTTCCACTGGATTTCAACAGAATTCTAGTGTATCGACTGAGCCAAGCTCACTGGTGCACGAGCCTTTAATCTTGAAGGCAGCCGTTGCAATGATCTACCGAGGGAGATGTGAGAACATGTCGTTTAAGTAGGAAGGAGGGCGCTGCACGTAAAAAAGATAACGGCCTTACCGTTGACGTGATGTCGGCATTGCCATTGAGTATTTTCATGTCCAAAGCTGGACATTGAGAAAATGCGATGAAAAAATCAATGGCAATGCAGTCGACCATGTTATGAAGTGATCTCAACACAGTAGAAATGCTGTTGTGGCAGTGCTGTTGCTTGCGGGCAACGTTGCTGGGCGTCGTGGTGGATTGGAGAGCGTTGTAGAATGTTGATGTGTGGGAGACCTTTGACATCGTGAAAGAGCTAATGAACATTATTGTGAATATAACTTGATTGCCATGCGTTGTTTGCTATCGTCAAATCTGCTCATGACAAGTGGCAGATGAAGAGAGTCGTAGACATGGTGCTGATATTGCAGATTGTCAGTGCATTCTGCTTATGAAACATGATGGTTGTGGAAGTGATTCATGTGGTGATATGACCTGGTTACAGGTATAAGTGTAGGAGGCGCAGTTGTTAGCACTACAAGTCAGTCAAGGAAGTGTAAGAGGTATTAAAATTGTCGGCTGTCATCATGATAGATCGATCTATGGAACATCGTCGGCGGGTCAGTTTCATTGCCATGCCATCATGCAGTGGAGATTGCAGATTACCATCAGCATTCTGCCCATGAAAAGCGCCAGATGAAGAGACCGATCTTATGGCCTAGCTACTCTGTTAGTAGGGAGGGATGTACGAGGGATGAGCTTTCAAGGTTGTTCTTCTCGGCAGTGCGCGGCTATGGAGGGTCCAAGGGGTATGGAGGGTCCAAGGGGTATGGAGGGTCCAAGGGCTATGGAGGGTCCAATGGCTATGGAGGGTCCAAGGTTGTTGTTCTCGGCAGTGCGCAGCTATGGAGGGCCGCGATGGTATGAAGTCGAATGCTTGAATAATCGCGTTAGTGTGGGCTAGGTCTGAAAGTGCTCGAGGGAGGAGAGAGAGAAAACCGGGGCGGTCTCCCCTTCTCTGTACTCATTCGCATGGACGTGGCGCAGCCAGGAAGTCAAATTCTTGGTGGACATCAACTTATAATGTATCAATAACAGCGCCCGCTGCAAGGAACAACGGTCAGTACGTTTCAATGCTGAAAATGGCGCCGGGAGAGAGGATGGGGAGGGCGTGGTTTTAAAGGGTTTAGGGAAGTACGGGCTAATTATATCTCCCTATGGCTTAGGGAAGTAGGGGGTTGGTGTTTAACTGGGAACGGATATTGAAGGGTACTTTTTTTCTTTTTTAAAAAAGGCGACGCGCTTAAGATATCTTCATTGATCGGACAGTGATTGAGGTAACTCAGAGAATGATTTATACATTTCATCAAGGTCCGGCAGGATCTGAACTCAGCAGGTCTGTATTTCAATAGTCCAGGTGTATACCAACTGAGCTAGGCTCATTGGTTTGAAGGGTAGTTTGGGGTGTACCATAAGGAATGTATCTTTTTTTAATTTGATTATCATTATGTATTTTAAACACACACAAGCCCCGTCTATTCTGGGGGGCTGCAGTCTGGTTACTTCTCCCCGGCAAGCATGCTTGTACCGAGGCAATGGGGGAGAAAAGAAGAGAGGAGGAGGGGGGTCAGCCTAACCCTTGTGGCACTAGCCGCATGGGCATTCTGTGCACCCCACCCCCAAATGTTTCAACTGTGCTCTACTTATTGAGTCCCTGACGGTTTTTTTCTATGCTCTGTGATCGATTGGCATCCCTGTGTACGTACGAGTTCAGCTGTGCGGTGAATCCCTGTGTTCTATAACTTCTTCTGTCTATTGTTTGGTTCCCCCCCCTCTTTCTCCTTCGTTTTTTTTTTTGGACCATTTCTCGACGTATGCATGTCATGCTTGCGCAGCAGCGGCCATGCTAATCTTCTATTGTCTATTGTTGTTCCGAAGTGCTCAGCTATGTTGTGATCTATAAGGTTATCAATTGGATACTGAGTAGCTCAGCCCTGTTGTCATCTATTAGGTTATTTAGATCGAATTCGGAATTCTCAAATTCTGAAATATGAACGAATCAATAGTCAAGTGGCTAACTTCTATTGGATTCTCAAATTCTGAAATATGAACAAATCGGTTGTTGAAATCAATTGATCCAAATTTGCCTTCCGCAATCGCACAACCAAAGAACAATCACTGAACAAATCGATAGTCTCTTTGTGGCTAACTTCTTTTGAAAAAAATACTCGAGAAGTTCTAACGACGTATTACATGCTGTGTAAGTGATTGACAATTTGACAAGCTCAGTAGTTCGGTGATTGACAAGGCTCGACGTATTACTCGAGTGATTGACAATTTGACAAGCTCAGTAGTTCGGATAAGGTCTTGATGTGGTCAATAGCCTCAGATTCGAAGTATGCTGTGTGCTGTTTTGATTTGTTGCTCAGTCTTGAAGCCTTGAGGAGAGGTGGTCGCTTGAAGACCCGGGATGTGGATAAGGTCTTGTCAATTGATGTGCTCGATAGCCTCATATTCGAACTATGCTGTGCTCTTTTGATTTGTGCTCAGTCTTGAAGCCTTGAGGAGAGGTGGTCGCTTGAAGACCCAGGACTTTTCCGCAGGGCGGCTCGAAGTGGCCAAAGCACAGAAGCTGAAGCGATGAGCATGGTTGCTGGCTCCGGTAGGGCTGGGCGAGGGATGATTGCTGGGCGGACGGATGGGATAGGATGGGGAGGAACAGGTGAGTAAACCGCTGCGCTTCTGAATAACCAATAGGAAGGCCGATGTTATGTGTGGTATACATTTGTTCTTTGGTTCTGTTTCCTTTTTTTTCTTTCTTTCTTTTTATTTGAAAAAGGCAATGGCCATGATATGATCTATCATTATCGAACTGACCGGCCCTGGGTAATTCAGAATTGTATGTAATACAGTATTTTACTCATCTGCTTTCAGTGGAATTCGAACTAAGGTCTGCATTTCAACAGTTCAAGGGGTGTACCAACTGGTTGCAATCCTTTACTCGTTTGCTTCTGCTCTTCTTTTTGTTTCTTTCAAAAACAAAAAGGTGCTTTTGCCCTTCTCGTTGTTTTTTGGAAGGTTTGGATTTTGAACCCGCAAGGTTCTGTTCTTTTGTTTTTTTTTTTTGTTTTTTGTTTTATTTTTTTAATTTTTTTTAAAAGATTTGTTAGTTCAGATTTTGTGCTCGGTGAGGGGAGCGGCTGTTTGTTTTCGATTTTTGTTGTTTGGTTCTGTTTCTGTTCTTGTTCATGTTTTCTCCTTGTCTTTGCAATTCTACGTGTGCTTTTGGCCTTCTTTTTGTTTTCTCAAATGTTGTGGTCGTTGAGGGTGGGATAGGCGTTAAAGCCCAGCCACCCATGGGGTGTATTCAGCAGCGATTTTTGTTTTCCACTTTTGTTCCTTCGTTCTGTTTGTGTCCTTGTTTCTGTTCGCTTCTTCTCTTTGCAGTTCACCTGTTTCTGTGTCCTTGTTTCTGTTCGCTTCTTCTCTTTGCAGTTCACCTGTTTCTGTGTCCTTTTGTTTTTTCAAAGCATGTGTTCCTTGAGATGGGATGGGAGTGAAGCTCAGCCAACCCTGAGGTATGCTTAACAGGCTGCAGGAGGGGAGGCCCTTTATAAAACACCGCAATAACTCACGCTCAGTTTCCTCCTCCCATAACTTATACTGATGAGTACGGCCCAGCTGATTATGTAGGACCCTCTGTTTTCCACTATGAAAATCCAACTATCTTATCTATTTTTCCCTTTTTTTAATTTTAATTTTCTTAATTACAAAACTTGACATGCTGTGCTCATATCTAGCTGATCAGTGCCGTCTCATACATATGCTGCCAGAGAGCAAACTCCCTTATTACTTGTGAAATACCAACAGAGAACGCGCGAACTAGTCACACCCTCACCATGACTCCCCAGTATAGGGGCCCGCAGGATGGGGTGTTCTATTTTATGGCCAAATTTGCAGTAATTTGTTTGGCCAATCTAGCAGGTATTACCAATCTTGCCTGGTCATTATCGCTGTATCTAGACTGAAAGTTGCTCAAATACAGCTCTAATGACTGGGCGTTCTACTCGGGTGAAGACGCTAGGGGGCCTAGATAGGCAGTCCCCCTCAGGTCCAAGGGTATGCTAGCCTGTCTCTCCAGGGATCCCGACACCCAGCAGCCCAGATCATGAAACCTGTCCACATTACTGGTATATACTTTCCGCTTGGGCTGTCTGGATCTGTGTTCATATGACTGATTTGGGCGCTGCTGCTCATGTGACTGCTTTGGCCGCTGCCGATCATTAAACCTGTCCACATTACTGGTATATACTTTCCGCATTAAACTGATCCATGGTATATACTCTCCAGGGATCCCGACACCCAGAAGCTCTGGATCTGTGTTCATATGACTGATTTGGGCGCTGCCGTTGATTGTACACATTACTGATATGCCCGGATCAAAACAAATGAGCTGCCGCATGGCGTCATCTGGGAGGTGTACCTTTTGACTGCTCTTAAGATCAGGATGGGAAATTTGGAGGTGTATATCTTGCTTATCTTTGAAGATCAGGATGGGAAATGTGGAGTCTGAAGACAGTCATTAAGATGTGTATATCTTGATTATCGTTTTGTGATGTACCATTTGTTCCTCTCTGATTTTCTTTGCCTTTTTTTGTTTTACTGAGAACGCTCTGACTTTAAACGTTTGGCTTCGAAAGGCTTTGTCTGTGGTAAGCTTCCTGTGAGGCCGGGCTGAATGTCGAAGGGTGATGATTTAACTAACCCTCCCTCCCCTCAGCACCTTCAGCCTGATACGGTAAATCCTGAACCGTCGACAGGTTATTCGATGATAACTTCTGCCTACAACATTCGTTTGGACCCCTTTGCCTTTCTGAAATGTTGAACGCTTGCTGGGGTAAATGCGGACCTTCAAATTTGCAAATGAATTGAAGCGGTGTTTGGGTAATTTGCTGTTGTGTGATGCAGATGACATCAGTGATAAGGAAAATGATTGCGCGTGGAGTATGCATCGTGGTAGTTATGACCAGCATCGAGGCCAAGTACTTGGTTCAACGGCAGGGCATATTCCACGTGCAGAGGAGTGTGGAAAAGCCTCAAGCTGGACTTGCCAATCCAGCAGAAGTGATGCCTCTGAGAAGACACTCAGTAATGAACAGGGAGGGCAAAAGGTCACTTCATCATGGGAAACTTTTGATGGGACTATGGAGAAAGGGGAATCGAAGAGGTCTTTAGTGGTGTTGAGACTGACGGAAGGATTTTCCACCATCCCTGTCCTTGCGTTCGGCGATGTCAGAGTTGGGAGCACAAAGGTAGTGACTCTCTGGGTGGAGAATTGCAGTTCTCTCCCGAAAGAAGTCGTTGAAGACAAGATTCTATGTAGCAAGGGATTCAGGCTGAGCTGCCAGCCTGATAATCTAGGCAACTTTGAGAACTCAGAGGATGGTGCTGAATTGGATAAGTATGCAGGACAGCCGAAACGTAGGCCTTGTTCATTTGTCGTGCGTCCTCGAAGCGTGACTTGCTTGTGGGTGTCCTGGAAACCGGTGGAGGAAGGAGCATGCCAGGAAGAGCTGACTTTGAAGTGGGATCAAAGTCGTAAGCTTTGTGTTGTCCTGCAAGGAACAGGTGTTTCCCTACCCCCCAAGGTAATATCGGCATACATCTCTGTCCTGTTCTCTCTCGTCCTCTCTTATCCTCTCTTGTCCTCTCCTCTCTTGTCCTCTCGTCTCGTCTCGTCTCCTCTCCTCTCCTCTCCTCTCCTCTCATCTCCCAAGGTAAAATCGACATACGTTCTGTCCTGCCCGTGGCATGGAGTCGGTCATTATCTGCCGGAAAAAGAACAGGGAATACAACCAAGCATTATGCTTGAGCAAAAGACTTGAGGGAAACACTTGAGGGAAATGCGTGAGCGAAATGCTTGAGTAGGCTTGAAGGTTCGGTGGTGCATCTGCCATGGTGCTGGTGGATGAAAGTGGTGATGTCAGCATAACCCCAAATGCTCTCTGAGTCTCTACTGAGTGTCTTCATATGCTAAGTTTCTTTATGTACTTCGTGTCATGGAGCTAAGACTTTTGCCATTACTGGCCTGTGTAAGGGTATGACGGCCATGCTTGCACTGGCATGTAGCGTGCTTTTCTTTTTTGTTTGAAGTTTTCCCCCTTTTGTGCAAAGTACAGTAGTAATTTATGTTATCTGTGAGACGGGATTTGAACTTTCGGCCTTGTGATTAGTAGTTGTAGGTCTACATTTCGGCCCACCAGCGAAGTATATTCTATAAAACATGGTAGGGAGCCTGGCTGCGTTTGTGTTGTGCTCTGTGCTTTGCGAAGAAGCCTCTTTTTCTTCCCTCTCTCGGACGGCTAACCCTAAACCCTCCCCCCATCTGATTGCACCATCGTAGACAGCTTAAGGAAATCTGTGTTGTACATTGCAGGCGAAGAAGGGTGGAGTACAGAAGCGTTCTCTTCCAGGAAGTCCCCTGCGAGTGCTTTCACCGAACGATTCCAGGTTTGCTGTGCGCCAGAGAAGCGGATCTGTCGTGGAACAGTTTCTGTCACTGCTGCGCTCTACGGGGGGTGACGGTGTTAACTGTGTAGCACAGGTTGGAATGACTGATGGTCAGGCGATGGATACAAAGGATTATCTCCAGGGGAACATGGTAAAGGCAGAATCTGCTGATGCCATCGATTGCACCCACCGGTCCGACGTTACTGCCGCCGAGGACAGGACAGCAGCGAACAATGAGGAGCTCTTTACTGTCCGAAAAAAGGGTATTAGAAAAGATTCATTGGCTGGGGGCAAAACATTTCAAAGCCAGCCTGCTCTTCTTGAGCGGGCTTCTGACTGCAGCGGGAGTTCTGGGACTCCTCTCTTCATCAATGCTGATAAGGATGGAGGTTGGAAGGGAGAGCACAAACCACTGGGGAGTGGATTTCAAGGTAGCATGCCAATTTCTTCTTGGCATAATCTCAACAGTAGCAAGGAGGGAAGTTGGAAGGCAGCAGTGGAAGAACCAAAGGCTGTGCTTCAGAGTTATCGCACCTGTGATGACAGTGGTGCACATGGAGCCCCACAACTTGGGCCAGATTTGAAGCCCGTGGGATACAATTTCACCACGGAGAAAGCTGCTTCTGAGTCGATGGCACTCGTTGCAGATGTTAACAAATGCCAGTATGCGAAAACCCGTCGGGCCAGGCGGACCTGGCAGCGACCTGCAGTCATTACTCTTTGTCCACAGGAGTCGGCTCGCCAGTCAATAATCTTGTCACCAGTTAAGTCCTATTCAGATGACACCAGCTCAAAGAAGTGGCGGTTGATGGCACTCCAGGATGAGGAGGCCAGCGATGGACAGTCGGGTGCGAGAGATTATGAGCCCAGCACGCCTGCCGACTTCACTGACCAAAGTTCACCGTCATGCGGCGGAGGTGCAATGACTGAAGGTTTGACCAGTAGCCTGTTTCCTATCCACATTGGGAGGCAGCCAACTCGTCAGCATCGACTCAAAACACCTGTCCCAGTCAAAAGCAAGGACAGGGGTGACCAAGGGGCAAAGGCCAAAGCACAGAAGCGGCTGCCTCTGCAGACATCGAAAAGGAGGGCTTTTGCAGCCATACCGGCACCCAAGGCCCCGGGTTCGCTGAGGACGTTGAGCAGTGGCACGGCAATGACACGTGTGACCACGCCAGTGACGCCTGCATTAATGGCGAGTCATGGTGGCAACGCTGCCACTTCCCAAATGTCTCTGCCCATGTCATTGCAAAGGACTTCGCATCAGCTGGGGCCAGACTTTAGGACCATCACTCCAGGATCAACATTCATCTCGCTGGCCAGTCATGATACACCCTCAAGCATAGGAAGGCCTGTGACGACACCAACTAGTCGCAGGTTGTCTTTCCGAAAGCCAGGTGCTGTGACGCCTTCCTCGGCTGATGCCATGGCCAGAGGGAAGTTGTCTAGACAAATGACTGGAGGGAAAAGAACCTTCAGCTACTTCCATACACAATCGTCGATGGACAAGCAGGAGAGAGCACTCACGACATGGATGAATTACCTCTTAGACTCAGACGATTCTTGGTTGCAAGGAAATGAGGACGTGCTGGGCTGGAGTGAGCATGACAGCAACCCAACCAACGGACTGGAGCCGGCAGCAAAGATGATGAGAAGGGCGTCGATTGGGTATTGCCAGAGGAGGGCAAACGGACGTGCAAAAAGACTTCTTGATACGGGCGGGAAAGCGGCAGCAGCACTAAACCCCAGTAGAGAATGTGTGCAGAAGAGGGAGCTGGAGTCTGATTCAGAATGCAGTCTCCAGAGGGAATCCCAAGACTGGAAATGGCAAATACATCGGCTGAGAGATCATATTTGGTGGCTTTACTGCAAAGAAGAGACGCTGATAACAACCATGCTACGGGTTGAAAAGGTGAGCAACAGTCCCGTTCTACCACCATTAAGGCTGTTCTCCCACATTGCTGTCGAGTTATACCATGAACGGTTTGCATTCTTTTTGACGGGGGAAGATGAGAAGAGGGAGGGAACGACGGACTCAGGGAGGATGGAAGACCTATGTGCCCCGTCCAATCCCTGAGGTGAATCCCTACACTAATAAAATCGCTAAGCACAGAAATCTGCGATCCGGGCCGTTCGGCCGGACGGTCCGGATGTTCGCGCGATCTTCGCGCGAACATCCGGACTGTCGGGCCTGCCGAACGGCCTGGATCGACGCGCGATCTTAAGATCTCGCTAACATCCGGACCGTCGGGCCTGCCGAACGGCCCGGATCGACCCAGCTGGTAGGCCCAGCTGGTAGGCCCAGCTGGTAGGCCCAGACCGTTGCCGGCCGTTGCAGGCGAGTGGAGGGCGGGAAAGCCCGGTCTTGCCCTTCGACCCTACCCTGTTCGTCGAAGGCCTATGACACTCGCTACGCTGCCGACAAACGGACCTACGACCTAACGCTACGCGTTCGCTATCGACGACGCCCTCTCTCTCTCTCCCCGCCCGCCCGCCCGCCCGCCCGCCCGCGCAAGCACGCGCGCAGACACACACGCTCATGCACGCACGCACTCGAATGCATCGTGGGCAGATTGTCGGGGTTCAACCTCCTGATGAGTTGGTGAAAGTCCAACGAAACAGTCTGGCTCAGTCATGCTTTTTTTTGGAGTTCATCCACGCGCGCGCGCGCGCGCGCGCGAGAGAGAGAGAGAGAGAGAGAGAGAGAGAGAGAGAGAGAGAGAGAGAGAGAGAGAGAGAGAGAGAGACCAAGCACACCACCATGACGACGCGGACTGATGAAAATGATGATGAAGACGAGGATGAAGATGAAAGATAAGGAGCATGATTGGGGAGGGCAAGGTAAGATGGTAATGGCGTCAGGAATCGGGGAAGGGGGCAGAAACAGGCTATGGTGGTTTCTTTTTTCTTTCCTTACTGACTCTGATCGCGAAAGGAAGAAGTGACATGACGATGGGACAAAATGATGGGATTGGGTTCCGAAAGAGGAGGAAAAGGTAATGGGAGGGAGATGACGACGTGAAGGACTCTGGGTCGGACTGCAATGGCGTGGGAGCGGAGGATGTGGGAGATTTAGGATGAGGGAAATGGAAGATGGGTGTGGCAGTTGTTAGGTGGAAGGGGGATGGGGGAGGGTTAGGGGGGAACTGGGGGGTGTGTTTTTGTGTGTGTTTGTTCGTGTGAGAGAGAGAGAGAGGGAGGGAAGGGGGGAGAGCTAGGGGGAAGGAGTGGGAGGGGGGTTGGGTTAGGGGGAACTGGGGGGGTACAGGGGGGATACTAAAGGTGCAAAATCGCACCACATGGCCGCTCCACATGGCATAATTTTTTTTCGTCTTCTTTCTTTCTTTTCCGTTATTTGTGTGTTTTTGTGTGTGTTTGTTCGTGTGAGAGAGAGAGAGGGGGGGAAGGGGGAGAGCTAGGGGGAAGGAGTGGGAGGGGTTGAGGGTTGAAGATGCGAGAAAGCGCACCAGGTGGGTAGGGTACGTTAAAGGGGGGGGCGGGAGGGTCGGAGGGGGGCAGGGGGGCGCGAATTCGAATGTTTTTCGTGTTTTTATTTTTTTTATTTTTTATTGTTGTTGTTGTGTGTGTGTGTGTGTGAGAGAGAGAGAGAGAGCGAGAGAGAGAGAGGGAGGGAGAGAGACACCCCAATCTAAAGAACTACCCCCCCCCCCCCCTCCCCTCCCCCCCAAGAAAAATAAACACGATCAAGTGTCGTATCTGTTCCGATCAGTTTCATACCTGACCCGTGGTCCATCGGGAGAGAGAGAGAGAGAGAAAGACCCAACGTAACTAACTGCCTCCCCCCCCACACAACACGATCGAGTGTAGTATCTGTTCCAATCAGGTTCTTATCTGATGCGTGGTCCATCGGGAGCCCACAAAAAAAAAAGAAGGAAA